TCTTTTACATAAAAATAGAATTGAACTAGATTTTTTTGTACGGAACCCTCATTGCGCGAGTCCGCCACGCACTTGACCGGCATTCGCTATATTAATAAGTATTTATTTGTGATAAAAATATAGCAACATTTTTCAATCGTGGAATTATGCCAAAGTTAATAGAAAAATGTACGAAAAATTATTTTTATTGTTTGCAAATGCTGGCTGGGAAATGTCATTTCTAGAAGAATATGATCATTTTCACACAACAGCAGAAACAAGGTGATAGGAAAGTAAACTTTCACTTTGTAAGTTGATGCCTGCTCCTTTATAGTCTATCACACCTCATTTGATTATAAGGGCTTGTTTTATAGAACTGTTTTATTGAAAATTACGTCTTTTCAACCGACTTCAAAAGCAGGAAATTCTCAGTTTAGTTATATTTTTTTAATGTTTGTTATTTCATAACTACGTCAGTTGTGAACCGATTAGGAAAATTCTTTTTTATCTGAAAAGATATCCTTACAGACTGGCACCACAGAATCTGTATCAAAATCGGTTCAATAGTTTAGTTTTTGAATAAAAGTATATATATATATTAAGGCAGTCAATTATACTTCAGATTACAGATTTGTGCGGGTTCTGATCAACAATTCGAACAAATTATCCTTTCCATTAAATATACTAAATATATGTTATATATTAAATATATGTTGATGGAAGTTTTACTGCGCTTATCACAATAAGGAAGTCCTAAATATCATGTAGTTAAATCTAATTCTATGTACGTCAGTTATATATAAGTTTTACTAGGTTTATCACAAACGTGAATATAGAATATAATTATAAAATCAGAAAAACTAAAATATCACATAGTTAGATCTAATCCTATATATGGTAGTTTGCTTAAAGAATATTAAAACAATTACGCATGGTTTGAATATTAATTCACGTAACAACGGAAAAAACCTAATTGACAATAATGTATATTACATACGGACATAAAACAATATCTAGATGTTTTTAAGCGGGCATTTTAATTAGTTTTAATCCTTTTAAAAACTTTTTCGACTCTTGAACATAAATCACAACAAATTGATGAATTCACACAAAATATTCTCACATTTGTTGTGTTGAAGTAAATAAATGTGATGTAGATAGAATTAATGGTTCAATTAACATTCGTTTGTTAAAGTCAAGGATTGTAATTATAAGTTAATGCATTTTTCTCATTACAATGAAAATACACCTACCTATTTGATGCTATATTGGACACTACACGTCAAAACAATTAATACTCGAGAGAGAATGCAATCAACATATCACATCAACTTAATTGTTTACGAACTGTATCTATAATTGAAATAAAAAAAAGTATACCACATATTTAGACTTCTTTTTATGGATGAAAATGGTATGGTAACCCCGCCTGCGCTAATGGGATACACTGGCGGAGCACCAGTGAAGGGTGATAGATGAGAATGAAAACAGGCCAATTAGCCCATCATGATGAATTCATCATCAGGATTTAACCATGATAGTTTCCAGGGAGAATCGCGAGGAGGTCGACCTGGTTGGTTATATTGCTAGCAATGGAATTCTCAGTCTCCATTACTAACAATCCCTTTCCCCCCTGCATCATTGTTGGAAAATAATCAAAAAACACAAAATTCTCTAAAGAGCGTAAAAGAGGATCTTATCGCTAAAGCAATTTCTTCCAGACAGCTTAGTTTATTTTACAACAATTTGTAGAATTTAACTTTTATTTTAAATTAATTTTATACTATATATATTAGTGACAGTTAAGCTACCTTTATTTATCATCATAAAGATCTTTGCATTTTAGCATATCAGATTTTATCAGATACTCTCTTCTTTACAATTATTCTAAAGTAATATTATCCAGAGACAAGATTTGATTATGCGTATATATATATATATATATATATATATATATATATATATATATATATATATATATATATATATATATATACGTATAGATCTATCTATCTATGTTTAGAGAGAATTAGAGATGCCTACATGCGAAGCCAGAGTGGGTCACAAATTAGTGATAGAACATAGCAATTTAAACCTATTTTATGCCTCTTTTATTTTTGTTAATATTTCAGCTGTTAACTGTCCACTGCTGAACATAAGCCTTTCAGTTTTGCCAGTAGTTGCCACGCTTAGCAGGCGGGTTGGCAATCGCAGTTAGTGTTTTAGAGATATTTTAATAAGAACGCTACTGCCCATCCCTCGCGCTCCCTTCGTCGCTTCTTACGACACCAACGGGAAAGGAAGGGGTGGTCCATTCTATGCCGGGGCATACACGGCAAACGAAACGAAATTTGAAACGTAATTTATGCCTGTGTGACAGGTTAATACTATGTACATGTGATTGGCATCGGTCCTCATATCAATGTTTCGACCTCGTTAACCGATTTCCATAACAATAACCACCCACGCAAATTTTCATAAACTCCTCTTATTTAGTAACAACAATGTGTGACATTAATGACAAAGTAAAGTACAAATGACACTACGTTTATTTAAAAAAATATATATGCTACTTTAGAATGGTAAACAAGCAGATAGCCCACCTGATGGAAACTGGTAACTGTCGCCTATAGACAGGAACAGTACCATGTACATAACAGAGTATACTATGTCGCCCATGATACCTTTCATGTTTAGACATGAAAGGTATCATTAGCGACATAGTCCTTAAGGACTAGTGTTGGGACTTTGTGCCTTGTAATTTTATTGCCATACCCTGCAAACTGAAACACATACAAACAATAGTATCCAAGCAGACGATTTATGTGTAAAATTTCCCTCTGGTTACACAAAAATATTACCATATATCTATTTTTGTATGAATTCTTAGCATTACTAGTATTTGGCCTTAAGAACTAAGACTCTCGATTTATACTATTATCATCCTTACTACTGTTGTAAACAAAATATTGTGACTATGTCTGTATGAACTGGTGTTTATTAATCTTTTATGCAAAAACTACCGAACAGGTTTCATTGAAATTGAATGAAAGCACGCGGATAGATTATATAAATTAGAACAGGGGATAATTTCCATATCGATAGACGCTAGCAAAGCCGCAGGATGTAGTTAGTTTAGCTTTATTTAAAAAATAAACAAGAATAATTAAAACTACAACATTAAAAAACAAAAGTTTTTAGTTAAACAGTCAGCAACCCGAGGCCGAGCAGTCTTCAACCATGTTTGATTAAAACTTTTAACTGATAACGCACGTTGGATTTGCTTTATAAAACACTAATTAGGAGGCCGACCACATACTCATTTGTTGCAGTGTCTAGACGTCCACCCATTTTCCTCGTGCTCCTTAAATATCGCTCAAACTGTTTAATAATAGGCTATGTGCCCACTATTATAGTCATCAAACCAACTATATCCAATAGTGAGGACAAAATGCCTAAAATACTGTACTGCAAAGTACAAAAAAATAAACAGCCCAATTAAATTTTAAAATTGAAAATTACTGGTAATGCATATTTCTTTTCTATCTCCTCTTCCTACACAACGGACTACGACTTCTAAATGGTACTTAGTTTCATCTCATAGATATACAAACTCAAATAAAGACAATGCGTCGGATGTCGCACATCTATTTGATTTGCGCATTGAGCATAACGCACAGTACACCAGTGGTCGGGAGGTGAAAGGCGTATCGCTTTCGAATTAGATCGCGTTTTATTGACAACGGAGAAATGCGCGGTCGGCGCAGACGCTCTCCAATGTTTATATGTACTTAAACAGCATCGGATTTGCATCTGTTTTGTTTATATTCTTATTTAATAGAATAATTACGACTGTTTCTGCATTAGGTACTAATAATAAAGTAACAATAGTTATATAATAAAAGTTAATGAGTCTTTTTACTTTTTTTAATGGAAATAAAAATGGAATAGTAATTTCGTATGCGCTATCAGTATACATTGATAGGGTACAAGATAAAATTATATACTGAAATATTTCTATATCACTTTGAAATTTGTAACAATCTAGTAATAAGTTCTAATTATAATTAAATATTTAATACCAAAATGATATTATTACAAGAATCGAAAATATATTAACATAATAAATAGGTCAATCCATCTTAACTCATATTGCAGAGATTTTCCATCTCGATTATCTAACGACGCAGTTACATTCAATGTCAGTCATCGTATTAAAATAATCATCTGTTTTATATTAACTATAAATAAAAAGGCTGGCATATGTAAACAAGATATTATTATTCAGAAACTGCGAACAGTACCATAATTATTTGCAACTAGATAGATATATTTATTAAGGAATCACAAATAAAATGAATTATGGCCTCTTTTCATCACCATCTTCGTTCGCATAGCTATCGTTTATTGCAAAACAAAGATACCTTCATACTTTTCCACAAAATGCGATGTTACGCCACTTACATCCATTAATGCAATACTTTTGAGATCATCGTTACATTTCACAGGGGATCACCCACACTATGCTTGCTTTTTTAGATCGCTACTAGATAACCTTTATTATCTCTATCGATTGTTTGTTACTCATGAATAATGACCGGCCCTTTGCAATTTCCGCTTGCAGATTCTTCAAACTTTAACTTCGATATCTTTAGCTTCTTCGGCAGAAACCTATTTTTTTTTTGTTATTTGTAAAAACTTTATAAAATTAAGCTACGTAGAATGTTAAAAAGAATTTTCAAAAAGTGTAAGTAATGCACTCGGCGTTGATCGATATTGCTGCAAAAACAAAAAAAAAGAAAATACAAGAAATTGAGGGTATTCTCCTTTTTAAAATCGTTCAAAAATACGGATCTACTTACAATGTAGAACTCAAAACCTTATGATCAATAAGCTAGTTATAGATACTACGAATCCACGGCTTAGTAAGAAATGTTTTCTATTGTCGCTAAATACTGTATAAATATCGGTTACTCCACTTGTCACTTACCGTAATAATAGTCCGAGAATTGGTTACGTACCTATAGAAATGTTGACGAGGTGAACGTATGCGACGGCACACGCCTGCTTCAGTTGTAGAATGTGATTATCACCAAATTGTTGATTCCGGATTCTGTTGTGAGTTAGGAAGTATGTATTTGTATTTGTGGAACCTCTCTTCGTAACGATTTCAAAAGAGGAAGAGCTTTCACGTCAACTGTATTTTCCATTCGATTTTAAATGTTATCTGTTTAATAAATGAATTATAATTAACTAGTTAATTAACTAATTATTTGATAAAAATGGGAATTATGTTTGAAAAAGTTTACTAATCTAAAAAGATGCTAAATTTGGTATTTTTTAGATTCAATAATAAAAAAGACGAGATGAATTATTTTTGTTAATTTTATACGCTACATGGCGAGTCCATATATAGTATAAAACAATGTCGCATCCCACCGTCTGAATGCTTAGATCTTTTAAGCTACGCTACGGATTTTAATGTAGATTTAATCAATAGATAGATTAATTAAAGATAAAGGTTTATACGTATAGTTTAAGATTATTCTGTATTAATTTAATAAACGATAATTGTTTGAGATATCAAAAATAAAGTCGACAGAAAGCTTACGTCGAAAATGCTATCTTATTTTTTGAAATATAACAAAATAATATGTGATGGAATTGTTCCGCTTTATTAAAACTACAAAAAAATCAGCGATAACATGTGCCTATATTACATGGATAGAAAATAATAGAGATAATTTATTCAAATAGACTTGTTTACAAGCTCTTTTAAATCATCTATTTTTATGAAAGCTTTCTATAGCCATTTTATTAATTAAAAATTAATTTAGAAGGATACAATAGTAATATTATATTAATCACTCCACACTGACACTGCATTAGTTTCTATATTGCACCCGTGCGAAGTCAAGGATCGTTAGTAATGAATAAATTCAGAAAAAGTTAAGTTTTCAAATACCTGATTGATTAGCAATCGTTTAATTAATAATTTAATTGAATGTTCAAATCCAATATTCTTTGTAATCACTGTAAACTTTTTTTTCATAATATCAGTCTTTAATTGTCCACTACTGAACATAAGCCTCCATCCTCAGGAGGGGAATTTCGCCAGTAGTTGCCACGCATTGCAGGCGAATTGGCAACAGCACTTAAACCTTAGACATATTTCAAGAGGCACGTTGCTGCCCATCTCTCGCCCTCGATTAGTCGCCTCTTACGACATTTACAGGAAAGAAAAAGGTGGCCCATTCTATGCCGGAATTACACGGCCAAATCTTTTTGTTAATACCAATTAAATACCAAAATTTTTATCGCTCGCTTCCCAAGACAGGAGGGTCGGTTTAGCGCAATTATAAGAGCAAATTTTCCGAGAAGACGCTGAGAAATATAATAGTGATCAGCATAAACAATTTAGCCTGGATGTACTAACTTGTTTACAGAAGTTTTAGATCTTTTTAATATAATAAAATTGTAACTAAACGATGTCTGTATATAGGAGATATTTAAGAAATATCAATATTAGGGAGTTTAATAAGAGCAACAGAAACAAAAACGGTTTTTACTGTTCTCTTCCTGAAGGTCTAACTTAAAAAGTACTGCACGTTTTAGTTTGATATGCCTTCCAGAAGTGGTATATTTAGTTGATTTTCCTATTTTTGAAACAGCAGGCAAAAATTTAGTTTATTTTAAAATTATTGACAGCACTAAAAAGAATTTTCCAAAAGAGTACTTCCATGAAAGTAAGAAAACTATTACCTACTAAAGTAGCAATGGAGAATACTAGTAAAAAATTTTTTTAATGACATACTGACTATTTCAACAATACATAATAACAAACTTAAATAATAATTTAACAGCTACTTTGCACAAATGTATAATACAAGTGAAGGAAAGACACAAAATTAAACAATACCATTGAAAACTACAACAACATTGTCAATAATATTTATCAATAAAATATATACTTAATCATAGATTAAAATCTTACGCTAGTTCATACCAGTAGTCACTCGATAAATAAATATTATTATAATTTTTCTTTTGAACATTAGTATTACACATCATATTATCTCGTAAGGTAAAACAAGCTCATATGTGTATGATAGCTGTAAACCTTAGCCTACTTCGGCCGTACAATCTCGGTCTAGTACGAGCAACCTTTTATTTGCATAAAGTAAACGTTTCGAATATCTAAGGTACGCCATTATCGTATAGAGATTAGAAATCATTACTTTCTATATTGCTGTGAAAAATTATTGTTACATAATGTTTGTGTTTGAATGGTTGCGCGCCGCGGTAAAAGGGAAGTATTTTTATGGTATGCAAACGTAATGGTAACCCCACCTGCGCTATTGCTGTGCACTGGCAAGATATCATTGAGTGATGACAAGTAAAAATGATGTGAAGTCAATTGGTCTAATGTAATGAATTAAACAGGAATTAGCGTTGGTTTCCACGTGAATAGTATGGAGCTCAACCTGATACAGTATATTACCAGCGACAGAGCCGCAAGTCCCCATTTTAGACAATCTTTTTATGTATGTACATATATAATGACAAAAATGTGTACTCTCTCTTCCATTGTATATGTGCTATTAAATACATGTTTGTATATATTAATACCTATATAATAGTGCGTCAACTATCCTTTGTTTTTTTCTCAATGTCCTCTACCCTAAGATTGTCTGAAAGAGATTGCTTAGCAATAAGGCGTCTTTTTTATCACTTCTCATTAAAATTTACTGTATTTATTGCTTTGAATTGGTGCAATTAATAAATTATAAATAATCTTCATTGTTAAATAAATAAATAATAATAATGCGCTATGTATGTATCCAAATTTTTCCTAACAAGTCCAGTACATGCGGTAGTCAATCGTATTGTACAGAGAAATGTCAGCATCGTCGTTAAACTATAACAGAACGCCGTCTCGTCAACTACACGCAAGTAAGAAACAAGTATTTAACGTTATATACTTGGAGGAGGCAAATTATACGTAATTATTTATACATGTACTAAAATATATTCATATTTTAATATGAATACCCAGATTAGGTAGGTTCACGTCAACTTACATATTTAGAATTGATAAGAATTATTGATAACAAAATAAATAACGTAATATATAATTTAATTAATTTAATTTCACTGTCAAATAAACATATTATGTAAGAAGGATTGTATGCAAGAATAAAAATATATTTAACTATCCCTATATACAGTTTATTAAACCAAGTAGAAAGTAGTTTTAACCGTGAAATCTCGGCAAAAAATCTATTGTTGTTCATCTTTTAAAACAATTTTTTTATTATATAAAGCAATGAAAAATTTAATATCAGTTCGATCGTCAATACGAACACAACAAAAAATGGTAATAAAACAATAACCTCTATCTATATATACATAAGTATATAAAAGATTTATTTATATTTTCAGTACATACTTATATGCGCAAATACAATATGCTTACACTGTTAAAATTACACAGTTTAATTAAAGTAGGAACACAGACGTTATCTGAAGTACTGGCATATGTATTACGCAGCAATACAAAATCGCTCATAACTCACTGCAGAATACTCGTATTTTTAAAAAAAACAAACACTGATAAAAAAGGGGTACTAGAATAAAAAGAATCGACAACTAAAAAGATTTCAACAGTTCAAGTTCCACATCCACAGCGATTTTCACTGTTGATTCTTCTCTCGATGTTTCTCATCCTTCTGTGAACGATTAGTTGGCACTGTGCTTCAAAATAATCGTAAATTTATTTAAAGTACTCCGGCAACTAGTTGCATATTTGCTCAATAACATCATAAGCGAAACACGTGTTATTTGCATTTATTGATATATAACATATTGGTAAAGCTAATGTTAGCCCCGCAATATTTCCTGCTAACACACATTTTGATTGAAATTGTATAATATATTCTTGTTTTATAATTCTACTTTTGCGGGAAATATGTATATGCCTACATTAATGTACTTCATTCATTTTTATAATACATGTATATATGTACATGTTATTTAATTAATCAATTAATAATATACAAGATTACTTATACAGATAATCTTAAATAAACAAACATAAAACTGAAAAGATGTAATTAATATTTCAGATCAACTTTTTCCTAGTGAGTCTAATTTATTCGAGTGGTTTTAATAATAACATTCTTCAGATTACAATTTCACAGTAGCAACGAAATCAAGGCATTAATTTCTATTTTATTTTCATAGAGAAAAAGTAATAGCAGTGTTTTTATACAACTTAAAATGACAAACAACCTGACGGTCCACATTGTATAAAAAGGTAATCGTCGCTTTAGTACGTTTAATGACAATTTATAATAAATTGTTAAATTCATTATAAATTGTCTACAATGAACCACAGACATTGTTCTGAATATACGTAAAACAAAGCGAAGAAAACATACGTGCACCTACGCACGTAACCATATTAGGTGCAAAATTTGTATCAGTTACAATGAGTCATTCCAAATAGAAAACATTAATATCAGAGATAATAATCTAAAAAAGTATCACACTGCAATGTTTGAATTGTCGGTAATCACAATCCCTAACTTGTAAAGCAGCAAAGTGTACACATTTCTACAAAAATATGTTAATAGAATATAGATATAAATATAGTTTCTTTTACTTGCTTGTTTACTTAGTTTCTTGTAATAGCAATCGAGCTGATAACTCACCTGATGTAAAGTGGTAACCGTCATAAAAAATAAAATATATGCAGCCCTTGGTATCCCTCATGGTATCATCCCATATTACTTTTAAAATTGAGAATTATGCATCCGTACGCGTAAATATCACAACTTGAAATATTTGAAAATTCGACTTCTATACTGATCGAACTATATATAACATAGCGATTCACAGTAGCGTGTATGGCTGACATTAAATTAAGTATCGATCAAATTAATACCATTTTAATGATAACATACAGTCATAATTTTTTAATAATAAAATTAACGTGTAATAATTATCATGTACTAGTGACATTTACGTCGTTGACGTTACATAAGTATGGGTACAGGACTTTTATCATCTAATTAAACACAATTAAACACTAATGTGTTTAACCCTTAAACATACTCTGTACTAAAATTCAAAACAAATTCGCAAAAGACAATGTCATGCGAGGTCAATGACTTTGTGATAAGCAATTTTTTATTACCAATTAAAGAAACCTTAGGTAATATGGATAAAAATATATTATGCCGACACCAAAATTTATATAATTGCGATAAGGGTAGGAAGATAATGAGAAAGAGAAAGTTCGACATTTTTCATTCATTTTCTAAAGGATTGAAAATGTGCCCGTAACTTATATGAGGAAACAAATTTTTAAAAACAATAAACAAACTTGGCTTTTATTAATACAGATTGAGCTAAAATTATTTTAATTAAAATAATATTCTTAAGAATACAATATTTTAAATGTGATCTTAAAATGTGAAAATGTATTGGCACCAGTTAGGGATGTCGTGACGAATTCCACTAGAATTAACCACGATGGTTTCCAGGGGGGACCGCGTGGAGGTCGACCTGATAGAGTGTATTGCTAGCAATGGGTCAATTAGACATCATTACTAACAATCCCTTTCCTTCCGCCACATATCGTATTAGGTCAACCTCCTCGCGATTCCTCATCGAAATCATCGCAATTAATTCTTGCGGAATTCATGTTGAACTAACTAACCTGCTTTGTCATCTCTCACTAATATCTCACCAGATAGATCGATACACCAGTGTATCAGTAGCGCAGACAGGGTTAACATTCCATTTTCACTCATCAAAAAACCGATTATACTATAGGTAAGTTAATAACAACACACTAGTAAAAAATACACATTAGTATTGTTTTGTACGTTTGTTCATTTGGAGTTTAAATATAAATTTACCGCACAGGACGAGTGCGGTTCCACTATCAGAGTCCTTGCCCGACTTACCATCGATAGCGACCCGAGTTGATAACGTTACACTAATATTGCTTACTAGCTGTAACCTGCGGCTTTATTCGCAACAATTACGATAAAACATAACATACATGAATTAAGGATATAGTATTTGTACCAAATTTCATTAAATTCTCCTTAGCAGTTTATGGTCCACGTAATAAATTCTATACAATTGCATAAATAATACCGCGTGGTCCCGGCTTACAATGAGCTACCCCTTCTTTTGCTGTCGGTATCTTAAAGAAACTTGATGGTCGAGGAATGGATAGCAGCGTCCCTCTTTAAACATAACCAAAATCTAACTGCAGTTACCAACCTACATGCCAAGCGTGGTAACTACTGGCAAAACGATCCTATAAGGGAGATTTATATTCAGCAGTGGATAGTTTACGGCTGATATGATGGTGATGATGATGATAATGATGATTAATTGCATAAACTTGGTTTCCTGTCGTGTTCTCATATTTTTCATCATTTCGGGTCAGTAAAATCGTATGATACTATGACGTGCTACTGTTACAATAGTGCCGAAGAGTAACAAGTGAAGACGACATCAGGTCGTTTGGCATATCGTGACGAATCCATCAAAAATTAAAAAAAAATGACATTGTAGTTTGTCTTTACCGGTATTAATTTCTATGTAGTACATTACAGTCACCCGTAAACAGTAGCCAAGTCAACCCACGGAACGTTACAGCCGCGCCATAATCGATTTTCTTCCTACGCAATGTTGATTACCCAAACCAAACGATATTGATGTACTCGAGTAACTTGAAGCTAGTCATGCTCACTATAAGGTCCTGACTGGTGGTGACGTGGTAACCCCGTATATTGAGGCGATTGTTAGCAATGGAGTTTGATAGAACATTGGTAGGAGTATTAGGTCGACCTCCATGTGCTTCCCTCTGGAAACCATTGTGAACAATTATTGTTGAATTCGTCACGATGGGCTAACTAACCTGCTTCAATCTCATCTATCATTCTTCAATGGTGCCCCACTGGTGTATACCGATAGCGCGAATGGGGTAACCATTCCATTATCACCTATAAAAAAAACCGAGTTATCGAGTTTCCAGAAATAGTTGAGCGCAGTGAAGGCTACTTCATCCGTCATACTCGCGAACGAGTGCTGCTTGTGAGGACTAGTCGCTCATGTTTAATTTTTTATTTTCTATTTAATAATACATATAAATAGAACTTAATTCTAATTATAATCACAGTACCCATGCTAATGTAAAATTATCGTATATATAAAATTTGAAAAAAGTTACCATTGAGTTTCTTACGGTTTCTTCTCAGCAGATAAGAACACCTCGAACCCAGTAGTCAAATCAAGAAAAAATTATGATTTAAAAAAGCTTGTAAACAAATCTATTTTAATAAAAATTGTTTCTATTCTGCTCTATCCCATTCTATTCCATTTTAATCCATTTCATTCCATTCTATTGATCAGTGTGTAGATAAAACTGTAGTATTTTTACCCTGTTGATGAAATCAAGAAGATTTTAGGAAAGCAAAACAAATTATGTCGCTCAAGAGGAGATTGTTACTAATGAGGACTCGTGGCCATCAATATGCCTTGTCAAATGGACCACAGATACACAGACGGTCAGACACCGTCGTTCTTTATTAATTCCTATTGTTGATATTGCTTAGTACAAATGGTTTGTATTCACATAATTTATATAATTTAAGACTTTGTTCTAGAAAAAAAGCCGACCAAAAACTGTGACACAATCAGTTATTTTGATTTAAAAACTAAACTAATTAACTAATTTCAATAAAACCTTAGTAAATCTATAAGTATTAAAAAAGAACTTTCCAAATCGGTTTGTAACTAATGGGGTTATGAGGCAACAAACGTAAAAGAAATACAACCGAATTGAGAAACTCCTTTTTGAAGTCGTATTAAAATTCAAGTTTTTGAGGGAAAAGCAATAGCTGAATTTCCAGCCCATTCTTTTTAGTGAAAATTGCATTTTGAATGGATGGTAAAATCGTAAAAATTACAATTCCAAAATTCTTAAATCTAAGTTTAGTTATATAAATACATTTCTTTATTTCTTTATGTGTATTTCTTACAAAAGCCTACTGACATTACATCATCTTCACTTATTACCTCTCCAATCTAAATCAACAGCACAACCGAGATCATCATCTTTATAAATTAAAAAAAAAAACTAATAATGTAGTTTAAAAGTAAGTCAAAAAGGTAGATCGCTCTCTACCTGAGAGAAAATCAAGTTTCTTCAGAACAAGTTACGATAGATCCGAAGCTGAAGGATAAATGATTGATAGAATATGTAATAATAAAGTAGATTGACACTACTTTCTTTCTACTAAATCCCGCAAGGGACTTAACGTGAAGTTAATATATGAAATGGCCAAATTAAGATATAACTTACCTATCTAAAACATGAAAATAATTTTATTCAGTAAACTATTTTTATTTGATGACTGTCTACATTTTATAAGAAAAATAACACCGAGTTGTGATAACAATAATATGAAACAATGAAAACTCTTTATTGTTCCTCACAAAGAAAGATACAGTTAAAATAGTTTCAATAATTATAGGTGTGGACTTATCCGCACAATAGAAATTTATTGTTCTAAATTCAAATTTAAACGGCCACGAGATGAACAGCGAGCTCAGGCGCGTGGCGCAAAGACAGCCGGACACTCCGCACGCCAATTAACGCGGCGCGTTCACACGGCCGTCCTCACCGTCGATTCCGTAACCGCGCGCCACCCGCAACACCCGAGTTAACTCGATAAACCACTACCATTAAACACAGCCAGCGTAACGTAAACAAACACGTTACACTCGTTATACCTTGCCGACTCAGAGTCACTCGATTTGAAAATAGAGAAACTCAAACATTCGCCCGATTATCGGGATGGCTGTCGATGGTCGGTCAGTGCGCCGCGCCGTACTCGCCTCGCCTCGCACTATTTATATCGGAAAGAGAGAACTGCGTTTCGACACGTTATGTATGTATGTACCTTTATTTTATTACCATTTGTAGCCGGTTTTAACCTGTAACGATTAGTAAACGCGGTTTATTTTACTGTGCCTTATGTACGATGATGCGCCTCGCCGAGGAATTTAGATTTATATATTGCATTCATGCTTCATTGCATTTCTTGTTAACTGCAATCTAAAAATTAAAAACAACTAAATTAAGTAAATAGGTACTTTTATATTCATGTAATATAAAAATGTATTAAAAGTAGCGACATAAAACGTATCGATTGAGATAATAAATGTGTGAATACAGGATGTACTGTATCAGATTTAATTCAGATTTATTCATATGTTTAAACATAAGGAATACATTTTATATATCCTACTAATACTTATACTATATTGTTCAACGTATCATACTATTTTTTTTATTTGATTATTAAATTTGAAAAATTTTATATATATTTCTATATTTATTTACTTACTTCAGGTAACATATTGTATAAATATTAGTAAATCTCTACAAATACTTTACAGACTAACATACATATCAAAAATTAAACATTAACTTAATTAGAAACAAATAATTTAGTACTGTAATGATTTATATTTATTATTCAACCATATATAAACAGCTGAATTCAATTTGTTTACTATTTACTACAATTCATACAAAACTACGAAATACAATATTTAAAGGATTTAAAAAATTAAATAAATGCCAAACATACACGGTTATACCGATTTTCGTTAAATATATTGTAGTTAAACACAATCACGGCCAAACAGTTTTTATCTGAATTATATAAAAATACATTAAAATTGATTTGAGAAATAAACAAATGAAGGGACTTATAAGTCCGTTGCTTTCCTTTTTGCGATGGAGTTGCAAAAAATGTGACTTTATCGAAAAATAATATTAAGAAAATAGCTCCGAACAACTAGTACATTTATGAAACGAATAAATCTTTTTTATAGAAAAAGGTAACTTCTTAGAAAACTAGTAAAGTAACATTCGTAAACAGGAAATTATTGAACGTGCACAGACAAATAGTTGAAGACACAAAAAACAAAGTCTGTACGAAGTACCAAAAGAGTTGCATAGAATAAAAAGGATATTCATTGGTCGCTTCGTGGGAGTATGTTATGTTGACTTTGATGCTGCCGACGTGGATGGTTGGTAAAACATTTTTTATCACAACCTACCTGCTCCTTTATAAAAATTATGTCTTTATGTGTGATTCACCGAAGCGGCTTCAAGGAGGCTCACATTTGCTCTTCGATTGTCAAGTTCTATTTTTAAACAATCTTACAATTTCAAACCCACGTATTTTGTTTACGATGTTAAGGTAATGTTGAACATTTCACAAATTACGTAACTTATTTCGACCTACTTTGAGAAAGACCTAAAGTACACAGTTTATAAGAAAAAATATCGGCACTTTTTAAAAAATATGTTATTTTCTACCCGTAAATGGCTACGATCAGTATGACTAACAGAGGTGAAAAAATTCGATAGGTTACCCACATAAATATACAAGCATGTTTCTATATTTGAGTATTAAAAACTCCTTTCGGAAGTTGTTTAAAAAGCGAAGCAATTATCGCTCTCTTTGTTGTTATGTGAGAAATATGTGAGAAATATGTGTTATGTGAGGAACAATCATAACTTACATATATTAAACACCACATGAGTGTGATAATGGAGTAAGAGTACACTATGTTATCGTTACTACTCATCCCTAGAATTTCATCATATCATCATATCAGTCTTCAACTTTCCACTGCTGAATATAAACCTGTCCCTTGGGGGGTTTTGCCAGTAGTTGCCACGCTTGGCAGAAGAATTGGCAACCACAGTCAAGGCTTTAGAGATGTTTTCAGAGAGATGCCCATCCCTCGCCCTCCCTTAGTCAGCCATTACGACACCCACGAGAAAGTAGGGGGTGGCCTATTCTATGCTGGGACCACACGGCAAATCCAATTCCAAGAATTTAGTAACAGATAATTAAGAAAATACAGCACATCATACAGAAGAAGGAAAACTCTCTATATAAATGCTAATTGCGCAATAACATAGGGCTTATTATGTTCTATTTACAGTGGAAAATATGTGAAAGATTTCGACTATGCATGTTAATAGATTTTTGTGCCTATGTTGATGATACTTTTACAGTTAAATATAATAATTACGAATCTATTGAATTAAAATTATAAATTTCATTAAATTAAGATTAAATTGAAAAAACCCTTACAACTATTATTAGTCGAAAATATTTCTGTCTATCTATCTTCTTTCCAATATATAGCATATGAATACATTTCTATGCTTTTTCGTAAGTTATTTCAAGTTTTAAATTAATTTTTAAATATTAGTTAGATATCATTCTTTTACATGTTGGGGAAAAAGTACAAAAAAAAGTCACAAAAAAAAATGATCCTATAAGCAATATCGTATTTATTATTATTATTCTTTTATTTTTAATCTACAAAAACTATTCAGATTACGAATAGCTTATTTGTTGGGCTAATTTATTTCGAATAGCAGCCATCGAATTAATTAATTAAATATTTGACCCATCAAGATTTCTGTCGGCGCATAAAGGGGCGCTTACCTGCGCATGCGCGCCTTGTGTGGTCTACCTTGTAAAACGTACGTACTTCAAGCTAAAGTCGACAACATTCAAAGATAGATGTTTTATCGATTCGATTGTTTAATAGTGTTGTCTACAAGATATTCAATAGAACAAGATTGGTTTAAATGATTGTTTTATATCCAGATCAATCGATTGATATGTTTGATGTGAAAAATTTTCAATCATAGATCAATTGCCTTTCTTTTCTTACTCTCTCTCTCTTTCTCTCTCTCTTTCCTTCTCTCTCTTTCCTTTGCATTTTTCAGTGCAGAATATATTTTTTTTTGTTTTAACAAGAAGAATATTAAATGTAATATGGTTACTAACAAAGGCATTATTCAAATGTTTCACAAGAAAATATATAAAGAGATTTTCTTTTTCATATAATTTTAGAAATTTCACTTTAAATAAGAAGAACTTGACCTCATAGATTCGGTGCAGCAATGATTGGCAAGAGAAGTTTTTTTTTTTAAACACAGGGGACAAAGGAGCATTTGGTTTACTATTACAATTATTGTTTCTTTTATGCTATCACTATTACCTTTGACACTACTAACAATATTTTCATTATTTATAGCATTTAAATTAGTAGTACTAACTTCTGTAATAATTTATTCTCTAACCCATCATTACTGTCAATGTAATTTACATTATCATTAATCTAGTTCAGAATTACGTTGCCTATTTCTTCTCTAATTAAATTAAGTAATATAATAAATTATTTATAAGAAACTGAAAATATATAAATTCTCGATTTTCAAATTAATTCTTATTGCGTGCAGAAACGATCTCATTATTCGTATCTTAAAATATCGCAGTACATACGTTTAAATGATAATGTACACATGTAGCACAAAGGAGATTTTAAAATAGTTTTTTTAGTTGGATGATAATTCAGTGGTTACACCACCTGCGCTATTGATGTTCACCGGCGGAGTACCAGTGAGGGATGATAGGTAATGATCAAGCAGGTCAATTGGCTCATCGTGATGAATTCGGCAATAAATTAATCACAATAGTTTCCAAGGGGAACCGCGTGGAGGTCGACCTATTAGGTTTTTTTATTGCTAGCAATGGGACTAATAAGTATTTATTAGAGTATCGAAGTATCAAACATGACAATTTATCGGATAGCTCATATGTTGAGCCATCGGTAGCTTTATAATAATAGTATCAAATAGTAAGTATTAGAAATTGCAAAGTGCTAACTAAAACAAACTAGGTGCGTGGTAACAACGATGGCTCAAAGTATGAATGATTGTATGGCTATATTTAGAGTAGTACTAGTTACGTATTCGTCGCGCGTCACAGGATGTTGATAACATTTGCATACCTTTATGTAGCGTTAAAACGAACTACATACTGTTAAAACCCCAGAATTAAATTAACAAGCACCTAAAACTGCTTAACAGTGCGAAAACAGTAAATGTCATATTCCTCACAATATTTCATTCGGGAGGGAAAAGCACTGCTAGTAATGGAGACTGAGAATCCTATTGCTAGCAATATAACCAACCAGGTCGACCTCCTCGCGGTTCTCCCTGGAAACTATCATGGTTAATTCCTGATAAATTCATCATGATGGGCTAACTGGCCTGTGTTCATTCTCATCGATCACCCTTCATTGGTGCTCCGCCAGCATATCCCGTTAGCGCAGGCGGGGTTACCATACCATTTTCACACATAAAAAAAAATTAATTCGACTACTATGTTAAAACCAGTTATATCCCGCGGCTTCGCACACGTGAATCGTTATATAAATAATGTAACCTGTCTTCATATTAACTTTCATTTAATTCTGTTAAATACTTTTTGCGTAATTTAGTAACAAACATCATAAAATCCATATATATGTTCTCAAAAATTTTCGCATTTATAATAGTAATAAGATTTGATTCGATTAAATAATTGAATAGTGATCACTATTATTACATTTAATTATTCGAAAACTATATTCAATACAGGATTATTCCTGTATTGATTATTTTCCGTACGAATATCTATACATTTGTATCAAAAAGCCTTGAAAATTCGCAAATAATTCAATTATTAAATTAAAACTTCTATTATTTACACATTTTATTTACGTACAATGTCCGATCCGTCAGGCATCAGAAAATCAAAGAATCAAAATTAAATCCCTATGAGTTAACATGGTCATCTATTCTAATATAGAGCGGAAGACTTTGTTTATTAGTTTGGTAGCGCTAATCTGCGAAACTATCAGTCACATTTGAAAAATACTTTCTGGATTTAATAGCACATTTTTTAGTAAAGCTATTTAATATCACGACACGACAACGGGCAAAGCCCCGGGATATAACTAGTTAATAATAAATAACTACATTTACTAGTATCGTAAATAGGTCCTGTTACCTTTTTTTCAGTAATATAATACAATCAGCACAATATAACACAATCTTAATTGTGTTTCACGGAACAAAAACTGGCTTCAATTGTGGAATAACCAGTTATTTAAATTTAAGAACTAATCTACTGTTTTGTAAGTATATCCTTTCAAGTTAAAAAAAGAATTTTCCAAATCGGTTTACAACTTTTTTTTATACAACTTAGAATGGCAAACAAGCTGACGGCCCACCTGATGGAAAGTGGTAACCGTC